GCGTGACTGCGCGGTTAGCATTGGGCACGGCGCTGCGCGAGAGGAGGTTCGAGGTCGTGCTGTCCGCCAGAATAAGTTAAGACGGTAAGCGGCGATTCGGCTCCGTTCGTTCGCTGCAGCCGTTGCAGAGTTGCGGCACAGACAGCTTGTGTTCGGACTCAAGTAGGGTACAATCCATCAGTAGGCATGCGTGTTCGGACAAGGGTGTCTACCATTCGCTCTGTGTACTGTACCTCTGCAAAAACACAACACATTACACGGTACATCTCGAAGGGCAAGCAAAAAAAAACACACTCACGTTTCGGTCTTGGATGACGCCCCGACTTCCGTTACCACCACTGCCGCCGCTTCCGTCTCCGGCACAGTTGCGCCCCTCTCCACCGCTGTCTCCAACGATTCCGGTTCCGTCGGCATGGAAGGTGGGCTAGACTCCGGCACGGTCGGAGAAGCAGCGGTGGCGGCCTGCAAGTCGGCGTCGGGGGCTGCCGTTGAGATAGGAGCGGTTTCGAGAACCGTCTCGGACACTGCCGCTTCCGGCACGACAACAACCTCCACTGTTACCGCCGCCTCCGCGTTGACGTCCTGTTTGCCGCAGTCCGCCTCCGCGCCTTCTGCTGACGCTACCGCTGCCGCCACCGCCGCACCAGGGGTGGTCTCGGCGGCGACATCGGCTGCCGCATCCTCTTCCGCGGGCACGGGGGTGGACGGAGTTGGGGTTGCCGGAATCGCCACGGGCACCGCGGTGTCCGTCGAGAGCAACGCCGTCTCGCCGTTGGCCGCTTCGCTCGGCTCCTCCTCAGCGGCATCCGCCATCGCCGCCGCTGCAGGGGTGGCCTCGGCGACATCACCCGAAGGAGCGGAAGTCTCGGCGACATCACACGAAGGAGCGGAAGTCTCCGTTTCCGCCGGCACGGGCGTCGAAGGCGTCGGCGTTGCCGTGATCACCGGCACCGTGACCGTCAGCAGCGACCCCTCCTCGCCGCTCGCCCCTCTGCTTGGCTCCTCTCCAGGGGAGGTTGCCCTTCCCTTGCCCTTCTTAGACTGAAACGGGTTTGGAAAGGTGGGGAACGGTATGCGGCGCTGGGGGGAAATGATGTGGCGGCGGGGGGGTGGGGCCCCCGTTTTCATTCGTACCGCAGTGTTGCCGAAGAGGTGGGGCTCGGTAGAGAGTAAATATACATAAAGAAAGTGGGGCCAAGGATGGCAGGCAATGGGCTGCGAGAGATTTTCCCTTCTTGGCACGATCATGACGTCATTGTGTGTGCCGTGGGGGCGGCTGTGCGCTTGCCTCACAGAACAAAAACAACGGTACACACACGGTAGACCTTCACTACCGGTGGTGCGGAGTCTGAAACATTCCGGAGATCACTTATGGCCGTGCTACAAGTTAGTCACGTTCGATGCCGACGAGCGTCTCCATCTTTCTCTCCAAGACATGACAAAATAAAACGAGCAAACAACAAAAGAAGGTCAGACGCACGGGGCGGTTCTTGTCCTATCCGTTGCCTTGGTCTTTTGGTCAACCAGAGACAGGTTTCGGTCGCCCAGAGGCGGCCCATGTGGTGTATCCGGTCATTTAACTCAGTATACCACTCAGCACTTGATCGCCCCTCCTCCGCACCGTCCCCAGCGCCGCCTGCATACAGCGTATTCACTTCACCTTCCGTGTACTCTGACACATGACATGACATCTACAGCGGCGTTTACTTCACGTTTCAGGTGTCCTGACAACACAACAGTACATTGCCCCTTTACAGCACCGTCACCACCGCCACCAACAAGGCATCTGCAGCGATGCCGTAACAGTAGTTCACCTTCTTGTCCACGAGAGTAGTGACGTCGGTGGCCACCACGGGCTCCTCCTTGCCGTTCTCCACAGGATCCTGGGATAGACGAGACATGGGCGGTGCAGTTACTCAATAACTTGGCAACGAAGCATTTCATGCTCATCATATCAAAACGCGAGAACTTGAGCACCATATACTCCGGAGTATGTGATTGTGAGCCCGGCTAAGAACCCCTCGTGAACACCTGTATAGCGGCCATTTGTAGCCGGACCCTACGGAACTAAGAACCCCAAACCTAGCGGTTCTTCCGTGCGGCGCTACCTGTACAGAGGCTGTCGCGCTTAAAGTAGCGATCAATCCGGCACGACCGCAGATAAGCAAGAGCCAATAACATGAAACAAACATTTGTTGTGGCTGCTACAGCGCTACGCTACGCTACAGCTGCCCCGCTGCCCATGGCCTGCACACGAAACTTGCAACAATTTGCTCCTGGTCAAACGCTGTACAGGTATGACGCAGACCAAAGCGGTTAGCATCAGCTTCATGTGTCTGACGGAATTCCGTACAAGCAGTTTTGCGCAAAAGAATCGTCACGGGGGAAGGGAGAATGATGAAATGCATGCGATGATCCTATTCTAGAAGCAAGCAGGCTCACAGCAGTGGCCCACTTGTCGGTTGAACCTGGGCAATATGTCGACCTGTAGTCTTTCTGGTTTCTGCACGAATATTTTCAAAAGGCTACCGTACCGGTGCGAAGCGTACGACAACATGATCGGGACGTTCAAATTTCAATGTGGCAACATGAACTACATGCAGCGAGACAGCAGTCTACACTGTAAAATTGATGAAGCAAACATATGGGATAAAACATTCAATCCGTGCTTTTTGGTTAGGGTAAGGGTTAGGGATAGAGTCTGCGTGCCCCCTCCCTATTACTTTTCTAGATACTCTTAATATCCAGTGTAGGCGGTCCGAGTATCGATAGTGTTGAATATCCTATCGATAGTTTCGATCGCGATGATACGTCCCGCAGCGTGTCCCCACGCTTGGAAAGCCCACCCATTCCGCCTGCCAAACCGGCGAAACCGCCGTTCTTAGATGGAACTTACTCACCACGGTCTGCAGCTGCTCGTGCGAAGGGTCTGGGGCGTCACTATCAGCAGCAGCAGTAGCAGCATCCTTCCCACTACCAGGAACAGCAGCTGCAGCAGCAGCAACAGCCTTCGCCTCCAAGCCCGCGTCCAGCCCACGCAACGCAGCCACGCTCCCTCCTCCATCAGGGCCGCCGCTGGCGAACGGGGTACCAGCAGCGGCGGTAGCGGCGGCCGCGGCGTTGGCGCTCTGCTCCATGATCACGGCGGCGCTGGACAGCGCCTTGTCGGTGTCGGCCATGGCCGTCGCCACGTCCTCGTCGGAGGTAGGCACTCCCCCCTGCGGCGCAGAGTCATCACCGCCCGAGGCCGCCGTTTCTGGGTCAGGAACGACCACCTCCGACCCAAGCAGCGAGTCTGGCCCACTGGAGGCTTGGGCGTCGGGGAGGGCTTCTGCTGCTGGTGATGGCGCTTCGTCAACAGGCTGGTCGAGGCTGGGCTGCTGTACAACGGGGTTGCTGGCGGCGGGAGCAGGCGGATCCATAGGCGAGGAGGGAGAAGACCCCGCGCCACCAGTAGCGGTTGAGGTCGTCACCACCGCAGCAGCAGGAGCAGCGGCAGGCGAAGCAGCCCCTCCGGCAGTAAGAGCGGGATCGGCACCCTCATAATCACCGTCAGAAGCACCAGCCGTGCTGCCGGCGTCGGGAGGAGCCGCCGTCCCGGCGGCAACGGCAGTCTCCTGTACCCCGGCGGTGATGCCAGGCTCGCTTGCAGTAGCAGAATCTGCAGCAACGCCGCCGCCTTCCTCTTCCTCTTGCCTGTTGCTCGACTTCTTGCCGCGGAGGGGTCCGGCAGCGGACCCCAGCAGGAGGGACAGAATCACGGCGATCAGCAGCACCGCCGCAGCGCCGTGGTCGTTCAGGTCCCGGCCGCCGAGGGCCTGGCCAAGGCGAGCGCTGGTCCGCCTGGAGCAGTCCTTCGCCAGCTGCCCTGTCTCCAGGACGCCGCTCGCCACCGTCGCCGTGAAATCGGCGGTGTAGGCTGAGATGGTGTCCGCCCACGAGCCTGTGGCGGGTGGAGAAGGAGGAGGAGGCGCTGATCCCTTCTTCTTCCCCATGATGTTTCCCGTGCGGCGCGAAGCAGAGGCTGTTTCGTTACAGCAGGTTGTCTGCCACACACAACAAAACGGCCGAGCAGCAATCAGACTTCGAACGGCAAAGCGAACCTGCTGCTGGTGGTTGATGTTCCTGTTCCGAGAGGGAGGCACAACCGCCAGGCAGGGAGCGAGAGGCGAGAGGGTGTGTGCTGCGCACGCCGTAGGGTCGGCGAGCTGCTGTTCTCCGACGTCTGCGTGAGGGGGGGCAGAGAGGGGCGATCGCTGGCCGCTTAGGGTCGACTGCAACTGGAGGACGGAGGTCGCATATCACCTTTCTATGATGGGGGCCCTTACTTTGTGGTAACATGTGATACACGACACTGCACTCACCCACCACGGTGGGTGTCACCTCACCTTTCCCGAAACAACGTGCTGCAGTTCGGCGGCACACGGCAGGTCGGGTGGGGTGGGGTGGAGGAGAGCGCACTCGCTCCTTGTCTCCAACTACCCTGTGGGCGCCGGTGCTGCGTGTCTGGTGTATGAGCTTCACCCTCCCCACGCGCAGCAAAAAAAAAAATGCGGGAAGTCAACCACCTGTGGGTTCAACAGCATTCCGATTCCAAGAGCACGAACACGAATAGAAACATCTGCAGAGAAAGCGGCAGAAGGCTGCTCCTACTTCTATCCTGGGACCCTACATTAGTAGATGTATTAGTTCGTAAACTCGTATATGTACGCCAGCAAACAAACACACAGCGCTGCTGGCTGGATGCCGGATGATGCCCGATGACATCAATCAATGACCTAGAGTCGAGAGTCGAGAGCGGATGCAGGTGCGGCGTAACCTCCAACCAAAAGAACCAGGTTCCAGGTTCACGGCTGAGCATCGAGGTACCCGCCATGATCCACGGCGCCCCGGATACACTACCTGACCGGTTGCGCATCTCCCTGCTGTCCCCGGCTTGCCTTGCACGGTAGGAGAGAGAACGTACACCTGGTGATACCAATTGCCGGGGAACATCACACATGAAACATGCTGCGGCAGCAGCAGTGGCTTTTGTTTTCCGTCTAGGATGCATTTCGGTTGCTTCTTGCGAGTTCAATCAAGATCCAACAACAGCAGCGGAGATACCTCCCTGCGCCGTAGCCGTATCCATCTCAGGCGACGTGAGGTCCTTCGTAGACCCTGTCGTCCACCTGTCCTTTCAGCGGCACGTAGTGGAGGCGATCAAAGCAGAAGGTTGCACCGTTGACGTGTTCGTGTACGCGTCGCTGGGGGATGAGGACTTGCTCGAGGAACAGGTGCGTGTTTCACAAAGGTGTGTGTGTGTCGTAGAGCAACCTCCGATTACATGCGGTGTGGGCGCGAACCCGTCGTCCATTGCATATACGTAGCGTACTACTACAGCACCAGACGCACACTCCCCTTTGGTGATGAAGCCGGGTCAAAGCAGTGATTCAGCGTAGATGAAACCCGGCAAATAATCTTTGGAATGCTACATATCACGAGGTTGGGTTCACCCGTCGGTGTGCTGTTGGAGATGGCTCAGACAACCATGCAAAGCGTAGACTATTCACGGACTGCAGTGAATATGTGTCACCAGCTTTCAAAAATGGATTGATGGCGCTTGTTGTAAAGACCAAGTTTTGCTGCCCTCGAGGAATATCCCCCGGCGATGTTTGCAATGGGTTGGTAGGTTGTGAGGGTGTAAGCAAGGAGCCCAAATGGCTCAGGTCGAAATCAATCCGTGTCAACTTGTCGAGCTGTAGTCTAGACTGTTGTAGTCCTCTTGTAGCTCCGACTGACGGGTTCGTGAAAGTCTATCAGGTTTTTAAGAAAATAGTCAGAGACCAACAGGTTCCTAGGTTCTACAGTAGTCGCCAATCGGAAACATAGAGACCAACGATATCTCAAATGGGCTCTTAGCATTACAGCGAGAGATTCCTCTTGGAAAAATACGGATGGGTTGTTGTGATGGCACCCCCCACCACACCCGCAAACTCCTGCTTCATCATTGTCCTAGCGCCAGTGCAAGAGACAAAGACATGCTCAATCAAACATAGGCCGAGGTTGGTGGCTGGTAATTGGATGGCATCGAGGGAGACGACATGAGGACACTCGATGCTGCCCCCAATAGCGTTCAAAATGAAGTCCGCCTGAGCCACGAACGTAGTCTTGGCATTGCAGGTACAGCCCAGAGTCGCCTGGGCTCGACCGGGAAAACGACGAGATACTGTGAGAAGAACCAAAACCGTGTGCAGACAAGAACCCCGATCCTTTTGATGGAGCTCTTACGGCAATCGCAAAGATCTTCGTATCCTTCGTCGTGAAAAATAGCCGATTTCATGCGCTACAGAATTTGGCTGTCTTGTGAAAGCTGTGACGCACCCAGAACAATGGGGGAGGTTTGGATCCAAGTAAACATGTACGATTTTTTCGCATGTGTTTCAGCTATTATTACAAGAATAACACGCTTCGTATATAATTTGAGTCCATATTCTCTGCCTGAAGGTCAAATATTGGGTAGGTACATGCAAGGACGAGTTGTCCCACACAAGTCTTTGTTCACGATGATGGCAGAATATCTCCGAGCAAGTACCTCTGTGCAGGGATGGACAGCTCCCGATGTGTACCCGTGGTAAGAGCAGAGCTTAGCAAGCCATTGACCAAGCAGATTAACTTGTCGAAACAGCGGTGTGAAAGGCCCCACGTTATCGGTGACGACACGTTGTTAACCTTCCGTCACAAACACAGGATGCTGAAACGATAAGAAACATCGAGGCTACGATGGAATTCCTGTCCCCGACCCAACTAGTGTGGCACCAGGAGCAAGCGGGGATCATCCCCAACTCCTGCCGCCCCACGGCCACAACCCCGACGACCGGGGGCGGAGACGAGGCACGACCCTCGTCGTTCGCTTCGAGTAACGCCGCCAACGCGAAGCCCAAGGGTGGAAACGTTGGCGGCGATAACAGATCGAATCAGCCGCGCGGGCACGTTAGCAAGGAGCCGTCCAAGCCGCCGGGCAGGGAACAGTTCAGCACTCGGAGCGAGCGCTTTTACTGGCAGCTGTACGAGTCGCTGGCTGCGTACCGCTTGGCGGTCCAGAGAGAGGACGAAAAAGAGAAAGAGGCAGCGACGATCCCGACATCCTCACCGGCGTCGTCAAAGTACGACTGGATCGTTACCACTCGCTTCGATGTCGCCTGGAAAAACAGTGTGCCTTCCTTGAGGGCGTTCTCTCGGGACGTGGTGTGGTTCGCAGCGAAGTCCTGGTAAGCCAGTTGTGGTGACAAGGGTCCATGTCATCAACTTTGACTGCACAACCATATCGGAGAATATTCACTGGCCAAATATCTAATTGTGCGTCGGGAGTGTGTCCTCGCGAAATGTGCGCTAAGTGGCGTTGCCTGAAAGGGGATCTAGATATAACGTTTGGCGGGTTCCAAGCGCCGGTTCATGTGCCACTCTCACGGACATCTCGTTTATCTTTCACAGCGTGCACGACAGGATACATAAACTCGGTTTAACGATTTGATGGATGTCCACCAGACGTTTGGTGGGTTCAACCGGTACCACACACAGGAGCGCTGTTTAGCCACAACACGGACTGACCCGAAACGACCCAGCCTCCCTTTCACTACCCTTACCTTGAAAATAACCGTCGTCGCCACCACCGCAGGCCAATGTCCACCAACTTCGCGCTCGTACCTCGGGCCTTCTCCGATCGATTCTTCTCCGCCGTTGAGGCGTTTCACGCGTGCGACGACGGCAACGGCCCCTCATGGCCGCCGGGGGAGGCCTGGTGGCAACCCGATTGCGGCGAAGACGGACAAGAAAACGAAAACGGTAGTGGAAGTGTCCACAGCGGCGGGAACCTTCACCACAGCCCCAGGGGTGGGCCTGCAGGCGGGGGAGGGGACTTCGATCTCAGGGATTGGGATGATGGCAGTATTTTCCACGACAATAGAGGAGGGAGTCGCGGGGAAGGTTTTGGGGAGAGCATCGTGTATCGACACCTTCACGCCTCCGGTGTGCCGTACCGACCCTACCCGATGTTCGAGTACTACGCGGTGCCACCATACGTCCGTGATGGTGATGTCGATGGTGGTGCGGCGAGAGACACTCGGAGTGGGTGCGAGGCGAGCACATCGGATTACTTGACCGGATGCGTTCTGCTAGGCACGGTGGGGTTGTTTTCTCCGGCGTATACCAGGTGGGCCTCAGGATAGTTAGCCTTTCACCGCTTTGGGATATTGGGTCGAAGAATGTAGTCTAGGAGGGCAGAGCGGTATCTGTGAAGACAATGTACATTTCATTCAACGTGCGCTGCTAAGTTGCCGCAGAAAAGCTACACAAAAAAGAGCCCAACCTCTCGCTTTGATTTTGTAGCACAAGTTCGAACATGTGCTCCGCGCTCAAGTCTAAGACATAACACCGTAATCAGCGTCATGGCTCTCTTCGAATGATCGTGCAATAATGGTGCAAAATACCCGAAAGGTAAGCAAGAACCAGCACACTTAAACACCGATAATCACACCGTTCACTGCAACTAACGACGGAGACGAGGCGCAAGAAACTCTAGTATGCATTAAATGCTGACACCCTTTGTCGCCTTTTTCGCTGCGTGCCGGCTCTAAACCCCGCGTCCGTTCAACGCTGCCGAACGAACCACAGCGAAGCATGCGCCACCGCACTGTCGGAATGGTCCAGCTTGCACTGCCGGGCCTCTACCCAGCCCGAGGCTACCAGCACGGGCCGCCAGACCGAAAGGGCTTCAAAAAATCTCAACCCATATCTGAAAGCATGGCCAAGATCCTCCGTTGGAGTTTCCTCAGGCGAGGCTAAGACGCACAGGGGTGACGTGTTTGGAACAGCGGAGGAGGATCGGGTGCAAGAGGAAGACCTGAAGCGCGCTTGGTCCAACCTGGTCGCCCTTCGAGACGCCGTTATCCTTGCCGCCGATGACGATAGCGAGGAGGCGACGCACGGCTCCTCCAACGCCGGAGAAGACGATACCCCGATACGAGAAGCATCTCGGCGCCACCTCGGAAAGGATGACGGCGGTGACCACGACGCGGCGCCGAAACCGTCCAATTCAAGTCCCACGAGACAAACCAATCGTTCCTGGTCGGTACACTCCCAGTGGGGCTGCCGACTAAACGAGGTGAGGTTCGGAGAAGGGGGGCGGGCGTGTTTCAATCGCTGACTAATTCGTTTTGGTTGCATCCTTCTCGATTTCCGCGGACGAGGGCATGCAAACAACCTTGTGGGGTCCTCGATTTGACAGGGCTAACAGTATACTGCCCTCCCCCCCCTCCCGCTGGTCGCACCCGTTGAATTTTCAGTACCCTGGGCGAGCCCCGCATATCATCCGACACTCTTCCACCGACTCCCACCGCATGCGAGAGTTAGCGCTTGCGACAAAATGCCTGGCGCACCGGTTCATGGAAGGGGCGACTGCGTGGTCAAGTGTCATTGAGGATTTCAGCTTCGACGCCACAGTATGCGCAACCAGCAAGTAAAGTTTGTCGCACAGAATGGCAAACAATGGGTTCGCACTACATAGGGTTCTATTAGACAACCTAGCTTCGTCGACGTTGAGTATGGGTTGAATGCAACGGCGTGCACGGCTATGGGACAACATGTGGAAGATTGGGCCGACGCAAAATGAGGGATGTAGACGACAGCAACTGGCATCTTTCTCAAGAGGCGGGCTGCTCAAAACGCACCCGGAATGCAGGGCCGTGATGCCGGACCGCTCCCCTCATTTCGTTCGGAAACTACGTTCATGTTCACCGGCTGCCACCCGCGCATGTCGTCTTGTAAACACGCCGCGGCCGTGCACCCCGACCCCGTCCGTACGATCCAATGCCGCTCTACGTGTTCGAAAACCGAAATGTCTGAGCGCTGCAGATATGCTGCATCTCCACTCTCGTTCGTAGTGGTGGGGCACCGATACCATAGTCCCTGCGCCCCCAAAGCCGGCACAAATATGTGTTCATGAGCTGCGTGGCTTCTGCTTGAATTGCGTGCGCCGCCGTGCTTTTTCCGATGCGTTCCAGATCACTGGAGCTGGTGATGATTGACATTTCGCTTCACTCGGCAGAGGTACGTGCGGTACGACCGAGGCTCGTAGATCTGGCTGATAGACACGAACGTTGTACTAATGCGTATGAAGTAGACGATTGTAGCCGAAGGCCCTTCGGTGCGCTCTGTGCATCCCAACGGGAAACAACCTCGAGAAAATAGATTTCCCCACTTCGGAGACGGGTCCCCGAAAATATCCCCAGGATGTAGAGTTCTTCCTGAAATTGTTGTCGCTGCGTTTATCTTCACGCGAAAACATCTCAAAATATGGTCCGGTACCTCTTGTCTCCTCTACTTGTGAAGACAATAAGTCAAATTTCGTGGTGACAAGCTGTCCCTCAACAAGGTACATGGGTAGAAAACAATCTTGACTTGATTCGCGAACCTTGTGGGTTGCAGCATTGCTTGTTGCCGTTCTAGATGTACTGATTATCCCTCCTCGAAATAATTGTCGTTTTTACCTCTGTTTCCCGCTGCAAACGTATTCCATCTGGATCACACGCCACGAAATTCTGTTTAGCTCGGCGTCTGTACTGCGGACGGAAGAGCGGGCCTTACCGACGCGGAACACATCACGAGATTTTTCGCGGATCCCGCCAAGCATTGCGTAGGTTATGGCAGATTGGTGCTACCACCTCCCCCGAACCCTTGCCCGAAGTTAATGGTGAGCAGAAAATGGTTGGGAGAGATCTTCACTGTTAAACCTGCTACATTGAGTGGGTAGTCCTGTTCTGATGCTAGGGTTTTTCCCTCGATATGTTCGTAACAAAGGGAAGATTTGAGGATAAGTGTCAGGTGCTGAGCGCAGCAGCATCCCGTTTGGGTCGTCATTTGGTTGTTTGGTATCCATATGCAACTTGCGCAGAGGTCACGGGCGAGTGAGTCGGTCGCCCACCCATACCTTGGGGACCGTTTCGTCACCGTTGCCAGATTAGAAGAGAATGGGAACTTCGAGCGGCTCCGGTTTGGCCCGAACACACGTTTTGGGTTTCCACACTAGAGAGGGGGCGTTCATGCACTAGAATACTTGCGAGCTGTGATACCCTAGCGCAATCCCGATTCGAACATCTCCTCGACTTTGTTCTCACCCTAAAGGTTTCCTCGTGGTACCCTCGCTCGCGTTTGGCTGGGTCATCACATCAATCTATTCCCAGCATATTGCTCTTTTGTACTCGGCCGTTTTGACGAACGGTAAACCAGGTGCAGGCGATGGAAGTGAGACACCCAAAAGAGGGCGCCGTGTACTGGGAGGGTCCCGTCAACGTCGACCTTGAGGTCACCTTGAGCGGTGAGAGAACATCATACGAGGCGGCTGCCATGGGGGGGGGGGAAGGGCGTACTCTTATGTTTTGCATGCCTTAGCGGTTAGACCATTGACCACGCGTCCTCGAGAGGACGGAGCATTGTTCCCACAGGACCGATCACCGATGGCCAATCGTTCCTTTCTACTTTGCCAAAGGTGGCTCAAAAATGTCTTCCCTAGTCTGTCTATCCTAACGATATCCCTTCCCGCCTTTTCAACCCACCTCCTATGCCCCAGTACAGCTACCGTCCTTTCCTCTCTATTCCATGCCTCAAACATCTCCCTGTACGTTCCATCTATTTTTCCCAGCTCAGTCACGTACACTTCCCTCTCCTTCTTGTACCACGGACATTCCGCGACTACATGAACACGGTCTTCGCATTCGAAGCCGCAATCACATTTGAACTCGTCGTCTTCCTCGTCTACCGTCCTATGTCTTCGTCGACGTTCTCGAAGGCCTATGTCCCCGGTCCTGAATTTGAGCTTAAGCTTTGTTCCTGCATCTGTTGGTCCATGTAGGTAATCCTTGAACCCTATTCCTTCCTCCAACATTACGTTCACTTCTAGACCATCCTTATCCTTGGATTCTTTCCTCAGATTCTGTTCT